AGTAAGCAAGCTTTTTGTCAAATCTTAGAATAACTATCAGGATACTTACCATTGCAATGACATCTTGCATTACAGAGGAAAACTGAGTGTGGATGTTGATGACTGAATCGGCTAACAGAACTTCTCAGGCAAAGAGTGACTTGAAAGGTCTAGATGGGACATTACCATGAGACAACACATGGGTCATTATGATTCTGGATAAATCAGCCTGGAAAGATTCAAAAAGAGGATAGTCAAAGGTGCTCACACATTTTCTGGTGGCAGGAAAGGATAGGCAACTGGTCACATATCAAGTGTTATCAGATTTCAATTATATTTTAAAAGTTCAGTAGGAAAGGTTGGCTCCTCTCCCCAGGTGACGAGGAAGGGCACTTGTTTGTCCTCTTTTTTCAGCTGTCCATTCTCACCCTCTCCAAGAATAAGTCTGCAGTGATATTTGGGCTTTTCCAGAGCTCTGTTCTGTACACACTTTCTTTGACTTAAAGGAATATTCTTGATATTTCAGGAGGTTTTCATGGCCCAGGACACTTCTGCAGTAGAAGAGAAAACTGAGTACTTTAAAGTTCTACTAAACTCAAAATAAATATGAAGAGAAATTAGGAAAAATAAAATTCTGTAGTTATATATAATTAATTTATTTTTACAACACTATTATTTTGTAAAAATAATTTTAATGTTTTCAAGAAAGATGTGGCCCACATATGCATAAATGCAATAGTCCTAATAATAATAAAATAATCTTCTTAATATTTTGGACATTACTTGAAAAAATATATATTACATGGAAATGTATAAAGAGAAAAGCATAGTAACTTGTACATGTATTGCAATACTTGCATTTTGTCTCTATCTTAACACATTTTAACATATATTCTATATACATCATTAATATCTTAATCATTCTTATGTATGCACGACAGCATATCTAGGAGTTGTAGGTGCTGGTGTCAGCTCTTGCTTTCATTCCAGCACATTTGTCAGTCTTCAGACTTTAATATTTGCTTTGCTTTAAGGATAAATATGTTGTCTCTGTTACCTTACAGCTAACTTTCTGTTGGCTTCCACTTACCATTC